CCATTAGAACACTACTCACTCCGGTCGACAACCTTGAAGTTCTCTGTGAATTGATCGTTGATTTTGAAAGCTTACAAGAAAATGGGTTTAATCTGTATGAAGATGTAACTGCACAAGGATGGAACAAATACTTTGATCGTCTGTTGGGTCCAACTTTTCCCATTCTTGTTAAAGAGTTTTGGATTCATGCTACTTAATCCAACCATCAGGTCACGTCATATGTTATGGGGAAGAAGATAGTGATTACATAAGATTTGATTGGGAAACTCATTGGATACAATGGCGGCAGAGTCAGATGCATTGATATGGCTGATAAGTGTTCTGACCTAAAATCCATTGCTAAGGTCATCTTCACTTCTGCAAATTCATCCAGCAATATCAGAGACTTGAGAGATCATTACAGAATCTGGGCTAGAATAATTCTGGGATGTATCAATCACAGGAAGCCTACAAGCTCTCCTGATTACATCAACATTGATCAGCAGTTTCTGATATACTTCATCGCAAAGAAGACCAAAATAAACCTTCCACATTTGCTCTTCAACCATCTCAGAACAAGTGTAAAAGAGACAAGAGAAGAAGAAAGAACTAAGAGGGATTGGATTCCTCTAGGAAGATTGATTTCAGATATTCTAACGGAAAACAGGCTGATAGAACATCTGACAGAGGCTCAAGAAATCAGTACTCTGGAAGCAACTGCTTGGAAACCTCTGATTGCCAAGAATCTGAAGAAAATGAAGATTATTGAAAGCATTAAGAAGGAACCAAGAATTTCTTCTCATGAGGTCATCACGTCTAGGAGAATCCCTCTGAAGGATTTTCCACTATTCTCAGAGATAGATGCCTCTCCAAAGATTATAGTCAGATACCTTGAAGCTTGCAAGGAAGATGTGGCTATTCCAGAAATCAACATCCAAGACCTGCACAAGCCAGCTCCAGAGGTTGTGCTAAAGAAATCCAGAAAGAGGAAGGCAACAGGAGAAGGATCCTCTCAGAGGACACCCAAAGCTGCGAAAAAGAAAGGTAACACATCTTTTGTTTCTGTTGTAGAATCAATAGCTATTCCAACATCTGAAACCATTTCCCCTCAACCAACAGAGAATCCTTCACCCCAAACATTTGAGGATTTTGACATAGAGTTTGACCCATCTGTAACTCTTGGAAATTTCTTAAATGAACCTCACTCCCCCAATCCAAATACAGAACAACATCAACAAGAACTTGCAAGAGTTCTCTCTGATATTGAACTGTTTGATCAAGACTTTTGCTCACCTATCCCAGAAAATCCAAACACTCAATCTCAACAACCAGAAAATCCACAACCAGAACATCAAAACCTCAACTCACCCCAACCAGAAAATGAAAACCCTTTCACTCCTCAATCTGAAAATCCGTCTTTTGAAACACCTGAACCAGAAATTCAACACGCTACCGCAGACCAATCAGAAGACTCCCTTACAGACTCTGATACCACTACCCTAATTCCTGGAATAACATAACCTCTTATGGTTCGTTTACCTCTCTCCATTCATGATATTCCAGAAATACCTTCACCATATGAATCCACACCACCAAACACCCCTCACTCTCCAATCTTGATTTCTGATTCTTCAACTCCCTCACCAATCAATCGTCCAGCTGACCACCTCATAATTGTCATTGATCTAGAAGCGCTGGACCATCTAGCTTCCACCTCAAATAAAATTGCCATCCCCAAACCTAAACCAACCTTAACCAAATCAGATGTTGGTAAGAATATATTGATTTTTGAAACAGAAATACAGGAATGGGTAATTCTTTGAAGCAAGCAAGTCAAGAGAATTATAATCCTGCTGCTTCTGATTCTCTGTGGGATAGATTCAGAAAATGGTTCAACTCTGAATCCCAGAAGGTGAAAGAATTGAGCTATGAAATGGCTCAACAGAACTTCGGTGATTAACTGAAAGCCTTCAAAGATCAAGTTCTAAGCCACTGGGACAAGAAAGAAATTCTTCTGCTGGAAAATGCTCCCTGGAAAGAGCACCAACCTTCAGAAGCAACTGAATCAAATTCTGATAGTCACCCTCTGACTATTGCTCCAGAAAAGGTAATTGCAACAGAAGAAGTTGTTCAATCAGAAGAGACTGCAGAGTGTTCTGATTGACATGTAACCCCTGAAGATACACCAACTTCGTCTCTAGTCATGCAAACTCTGGAAGAGTTGAAGAAGGAGAATGCCTTAATCCATGCCAGACTAGATAAGCAAGAAGACACAAACAAAGAGATCGGGGATATATTGTATAAACAAGAAGATACAACAAAAGAAATCAAATACATTCTGGGAAAGTAGGAAGAATCAAGCACTCAGATTAAGAGCTTGTTGGAAGTGTTGTTTACACGACTTCCCCCTCCTTCTTAGATTTTCTTTAACTATTTATCTGTATTTTTCATCTTATCCTCTTTGTTTCTGAAAAATGTCATTGCATTCTATTTTCAATATAAATCATCTTGTTTGACTCTGATTATATTTCTTTTTGATATCTGACAAAAAGGGGGGAGAACGTAAGATATTTTCAATAACAGTATACCGGGACAAAGTTTCAAACATTCTGAATATCTTAACCTCTATGTTTTCTGAAAAGCTTGAACAAGAACATATTCTGATAAAGACAGAAGGAGATGCATCAAAAGCTCTAACGAGAAGGAACTTCAGGGAATTAAGTCATCTCTATCTGAGTAATCAAATCAGAGGGAGACTCTCTTAAGCTTTTTGTTCTATATTTTTCATTGAAAATCCTAGTTTTTGTCATCATCAAAAAGGGGGAGATTGTTAGAACATAGTTTGATTCTACAACCCTTAATTAGAGTTTTGATGATAACAAACACAAAGAACAAATATGCACTCTAAATTTGTGTTATTTTATATGCAGAAGTTCTTACTGAAACGGCATCAGAAGTTAAGCTACAGAAGCTTTCAAGCTGAGGTAATCAGAATGTTTTGAAGAATGATGATCAGAATCTGCGCTAAAGTAAAGGATACTCTGATTCTGAACAAAAGTCTAATATACCATCATATCTTCACATCTCTGAGTCATCAATATTCTGAAGTAAAAGCAGCATGCAAGATTCTAGTTCTGAAGTGTTACTTTTCAATAAAGACAGTATCATATGCAACGACTTCATTCAGACAAGAATATTCTAAATATGGAAAGAGCATTGAGTTTCCATTATCACGCTTTATGTTGGACAAGATTTCCACGCCTATATAAACAAGCTTAAAGGACAAATCGTTGACGATTTTTAAATATACAACTGCTCATACATCTAAAATGCTGCAAACATTCATATTCACTCATACGCTCAAATTGTGTAATATATCACAGTAGTGATATAGTTTTTGTAACGAAAAACAACAGTACACAGTAAATTATTTTCTTTTGATTAAGATAGTTTTCCTTGAGATAAATCGGGTTGTGATTGTACTCAAGAAGACTTTGGCAGTTGTCAAAGTAGTATTGTAATCAAGTTTTGATTAGTGAATTAAGTCCTCGTTGGAGAGAGGCGAAATCACATTGACGGGTTGACTGGAGTAGTTTGAGATCAAACGAACCAGGATAAAAATATCGTGTCTACTGCTTTTGATTTTAAGTTTCAATTCAACCCCCCCTTCTTGTGTTTTTCACTTCTTCACACCTTATTTAAGAGGTGCCATGCAGTGTTAATTGCATTTTCCCAAAACTATTTTGGTAGACCCATCTCACTTATTATAGTTCGTGCTAATTCTAATAAAATATGATTTTTATGCTTTACAACTCCATTATGTTGTGGAGTGCACATACATGAAAAGTTAAGGGATATCCCATTTTTGTGGAGAAAGTTTTAAAATGATGGTTAGAAAATTTATCACCATGATCACTTCTTAAAGAAATAACTTTCAAAGAGAACTGGTTTTGGACAAGCTTAGAAACTCAATAAAAGCTTTAAAAGTATCTTCCTTATGAGATAAGAATATGGTCCAATTAAATCGAGTAAAATCGTCTACAATAAAAAAGTCATAATAGTTACCACCTAAACTCTTAGTTCTTGAGGGGCCAAAGAAGTAAAGATGGAGAAGTTCAAGGGATTTATTTGTAGATAGAAAAAATTTGGATTTAAAAGACACCCTTATTAGATTTCCTATTAGGCAAACATCACATAACCTTTCTTTTGGAAATTTGATTTTTGATAGATCGACTACTAATTCCTTGGAAACTATATTAATAATCAAATCAAAGTGAGCATCAATAGTAGAAAAAACACTTGTCCAGTCAGTTAAAAACGACTTGTTATGACGGTTTCGAGCCTGACCTAAGAATTGGTGACATAAGAAGTTTTGACTTCTTAAGTCAGATTTGGATCTGACTTAACAAAAGGTTATTAGGCCGGTTAAACAGTGTCCGACTTAACAAGTGTGCGCTTTAGGAAGCAGTGATGTCATTTGTACTCGACTTTAGAAGTTCCTTTCTTAAATGGCATATATTTAACCGACCTAACATGTTGTATTTTTTCTCTATATATATACACACTCTCTTTTAAGACTAACAACGGTAGGAAAAATAATATTCATATAATTATTTTGTTCTATATATCTCACTCAGACTTTAAAATAAAATCATAGAAGTAAAAATATTATCATATCAAATTAAAACATCATTGTAATTAAAGCTATGCAGCAAATCAACTGAATAATAATTATATTAAATTAGCAAACAAGCATTCTAATCCCATGTACACACATCATTGTAATTAAAGCTATGCAGCAAATCAACTGAATAATAATTATATTAAAGTAGCAAACAAGCATTCTAATCCCATGTACACACACATAAGAGCTAGTTAGTAAGAAACTTAATAAGTTAAAAAAAACATCATTTGCAACTCGGCAGTGAGTCTAAATATCATACTAGTATCTTGCCAATGCAAAGCTCTCCTGCATCCAGTTTGGCGGATCCACCACAACATAGATATCTGATTTCTCAAAATCAGCAACCTACATATAATGACAAGACACTTACATCAGCTGTAGGTATTCTAGAGATAGACAATTGGAAGAGTAAAATGTTTCGATATTTATATCATCAATTGGATAGAGAGAACAAAAATGTTACTTGTTGGCTGTTGCGGTGGCTCTTGAGTGAACTGGTACTTTACATTATTCTGTAAAATGTACAACACTTCTGCAGGCTTCAGCCATCTCCTTTGAGCTTCGTGATACAAATCATTGATATCATATTCGCAACCTGAGACAATAGTGATAAATAAATCAAACTCTCCTATCATTTCCCCCCTTCGAAGTGTAACTAAACTATTGATAATGGCGTAGAAGTGATAACATAACAAGAAAGAGAATGAAGCATATGCCATTGAAGAAGAAGGTAAAAAATCTATTATCATTATTATCTACTGGTTGTTACAAGATAAGGCAATATATGGAAGTATATATATAAGCCAATGGAATGATGCCAGCTCAGCTAACTAAGTAAACTAAAAGTGTATGAAGGGAAAAAGATTATGTACAGTACACATATACTTTAATATGTCCCCTCAAGTTGGACCGTGTAAAATGCAAAGTCCTAACTTGGACAGGATAGAGGAAAAGGCTGGAGAGTTTAGAGGTTTGGTAAAAACATCTGCCAGTTGGGCCGTAGTTGAGATAGGGAGTAAATGAATCAACTTGGAGTTAATTTTCTCTCGAACTACATGACAATCTAGTTCAATATGTTTACTTCGTTCATGAAACACAGGATTATGAGCAAGATAGATGGCTGACTTATTGTCACAATACACTGATGCGGGCTGAGAAAACGTAACCTTGAGATCAGCAAACAAAGAGTTTAACCATTGTAGCTCACACGTAACGGAATCTAAGGCTCGATACTCAGCTTCAGTAGAGGGTCTTGACACAGTATTTTGCTTCTTGGACTTCCAGCTGATAAGAGACAATCCAAGAAGAACACAATATCCAGTTATGGATTTTCTTGTCGTGGGACATCTGGTCCAATCGGAGTCAGCAAAAGCACACAATTTCAAAGAGCTGGAAGCAGAAAAAAGAACACCTTTAGCAGGGGAAGATTTCAAAAAACGTAAAATCTTGGTAGCAGCTTGATAATGAGTGGCGAGGAGTTTGGAGACATATTGACTCAAGTGTTGTACTGCAAAGGAGATGCTAGGCCTGGAGTTTGTCAAGTATATAAGTCTGCCAATTAATCTTCTATACACAGTGGAATCACTGAGAGGTTCACCATCAGTAGGAGATAATTTGAGATTGGGGTCAAAAGGCACAGAGGAGGGTTTTGCTGCAAGATAACTTGTATCTTCCAAGAGTTCAAGAGTATATTTTCTTTGATTTAATAAAATACCTTTGAGGACCTGACAATCTCAAAGCCCAAAAATAATCTTAGTTGACCAAGATCTTTAATCTTGAATTTCTGATGAAGAGTGGTTTTAACAAATTGTATGTCCATCATAGAATTTCAAGAAATAACTATTTCATCTACATAGACCAATATGGCAGTAAAGGTATCTTTCTTAGATTTTCCATATAAGTAATGGTCAGCTTGGGACTGAGAATAACCTAATGATATTAAAAAGGAAGAGAGTTTAGAATACCATTGTCGGCTTGCCTGTTTAAGACCATACAAGGATATCTGTAACCTGCATACTTGAGAAGGATTAGAGGTGGAAATGCCAGGAGGAAGTGTCATGTAGACTTCTTCATGCAAGTCACCATGAAGAAAGGCATTATTGACACCTAATTGCTCAAGATGCCAACCATTTATAGCAGCTATAGAAAGGAGAACCCTGATTGTTGTGATTTTAGCCACAAGAGAGAAAGTGTCAAAGTAATCAATTCCCTCCATTTGTGTATAACCCTTTGCTACAAGTCTTGCCTTGTATCTCTCAATGGAGTCATCTGCCTTGTACTTAACCTTGTAAACCCACCTACAGCCAATGGGAACTTTTCCTGGTGGGAGATCAACAACAGTCCATGTCTGATTTTCTTCAAGAGCCTGTATTTCAACATCCATAACATGTTTCCAACAATCCATCTTGATGGCTTGGTTAAAAGTTTTTGGTTCAATATTTGATGAAACAGAAAAACATAAATGTTTATAAGAAGGAGAACACTGATCATAAGTAAGAACAGAGGATAAAGGATACAAAACTTTGGAAAACTTATTAGAATGAGTATTATTAGAAACAATAGAGTAACAATGGTAATATTTAAGGTACTGGGGAGGTTGAGTAGACTTAGAGGAATGTCTTGTGTGCAAGATAGGATTATGAGTAGAAGATGAAGGTTCAAAGGACTGATGGATATCAGAATCTAACTCTACAAAAGTAGGATGTGTGACAGGTTGGCTATGTAAGTTTACAGTAGGGATGGGATTGATATGTGGCTCTTGATTTTGAAAAGGACTAATGTCTGCTGGTAGAGAGGAGGTAGGATTGCTCTGTGTAGAGTCAGTATGTATAGTCATATCAGTGGAAAAAGGTAAGGCAGAGTAAGGACTATGAAGTTGCATAGGCTGAGGAGAAGTAGCATCACTGTCAATCTGAGATGTACTTATGTCATATGAAAGAGATATATCAGTGGTGCTGGATTGCTGACTAGGAATGGAAGGGGAAATCTCAGAAAAAATCATCAAGTTGGGAAATTGATATTGTATGGTTTTGAAAAGGATTGTTTTTTATATTAAAAGGAAAAACAGTTTCATAAAATATGACATTTCTTGTGATGAAGATATTGTGATTTTCAAGGTTGTCAAGAATGTAACCTTTTGTACCTTCTTGGTATCCAAGAAAAATGGCTTTTCTGGCTCTATGAGCAAATTTTGTTCTGTGTGCCTAAGGAGATGTGGCATAAGACAAACAACCAAACACTTTTAAATGGATTAGGGATGATGGTTGTTTGAATAAAAGTTCATATGGAAATTTTGAATTGACGAGGGGATTAGGTAATCTATTGATAATGTGGACAACATGTTGAATAGAAAAGTTTCATAGATTTAAGGGAACATTGGAATGGAAAAAGATGGATCTAGCTATATTGAGTATATGTTGATGTTTTCTTTCTACCACCCCATTTTGTTGGGGTGTCTCAACACAAGTCTTTTGGTTAGTTATTCCTTTAGAAAGAAGAAAAGTAGATAAAGCTATGAACTTTGTGTCATTGTCAGATCTTAGACATTTAAGGGTTGTTTGGAAATGGTTTTCAATATAGGTTATAAAATTGATAAGACTTGGTTTAATTTGGTCTTTAGTCTTAAGAAAGATAACCCAAGTATGCCCTGAGTAATCATCCACAAGAGTTAGGAAGTATTTATGGCCTAAAGTAGAGATAGTGGAAAAAGGTCGCCATAAGTCAGTATGTAAAATATTAAATGGTGAAGAAGACATAGAAATGCTATTAGGAAAGGGTAATTTTCTTTGTTTAGCAAAATGGCAAGAATCACAAGGTACATTGTCATTATTACATGTAATGAAAGGAAAAAGTTTAGAGACAGTTTGTAATCCTTTGTTGGATATATGGCCTAAGCACAAATGCCATAGATTACATGAGGTGTGTGTGGTAGATTAATTTGCAGAAGAATGAGGAGGGGAAGAATCAAGCACATAGAGCCCTCTGTGTAAGTTAGTTATACCAATCATTTCCTTTGAATGATTTTGCATGATGTGGCAAGCATTAGCATTGAAATGGACAAAGCATTGATTATGATCAACAAGTTTTTCCATAGAGATTAAGTTAACATGGAAGCTAGGCACATATAGAACATTATGTATGGTTATGAAAGGGGATATGATAACAGTTCCAGATATAAAGGCAAAAACATGTGAACCATCAGGCAGATTGACAGGTATAGGAATTATAGATTTATGATCAGTAAAAGAGGAAAAGTTGAAAGAAAAATGGTCAGTGGCACCAGTATCAAGTATCCAAAGATAGGGTTTCTTACGAGCAACATTAGTTGGGTGAGAATTCATGACAAAAGGCGAGGTAGATACAGAATTGAATGCAGGATTGGGTTTAGATTGATGAAGCAATGCTAGGATGTTTTCATACTGCTCTTTAGTGAAACCAAACGAGGGTGAAGTTGAGCTCGCAGGAGAAGCTTCAGAGGCGTTGTAAACAACTGCAGCAGGTGAAGAAGACTAAGGATTTCCTTGACTTTTTCCCTTTGCTCGAGAACCTGGTGGAAATCCATGCTTAAGGAAGCAAGTTTAAATCGTGTGATTCGTCCTGTTACAATGTGTACATAGCCTGGCATTGCCTCTTGAAGCATTAGAGCCTTGATACCTATCATGAGAGTTATTAGTAGCAGATTTTCCCGAGTGTGTTTGAACTTGAAGCGTAGAAACTTCTTCAGTCGAGCCTGTAGAAGAAATAATACCAGCAGCAGAGCTATCCATTTATCTTTCTTGTTGAATGACAAGTGATAAAGCTTTATCAATGCTGGGGAGAGGATTCATCATCATAATTTGAGACTTTAAGTGCGCAAATTTTTCTGATAACCCCTTAAGAAAACGAATGACATAGTCTTGCTCCCTATACAACTTGACTGATGCAATAACACCACAAGAACACGAAATTGTACAATAACAAATAGGAATCGATCGATAATTCCCTAATTCATCCCATATTACTTTCAATTGCGTGAAATAGTTAGAAACATCGAGCGTACCTTGACGAAATTTGTACAGATCCTCTTGAATATCAGATATGCGGAAGATATCACCGTGAGAGAACCTAATTTACAAATTCTTCCATACACCAGCAGCGTTGTCAATCCAAAGAACAGATCTATCTATAGATTCTGAAATCGATCATTGAATCCATGCAAGAACCATGGTATTGCAACGAATCCACAGAGCGTATAATGGATCAGAAACAGGTGGCTTGGTGAGATTGCCATCTATGAACTTCTCTTTTTTGTTGGAAATCAACGCAGTCTGCATTGAACGAGCCCAGGTGTGATAGTTCTTATCAGTGAGAGAAGGGGTAATAAGAACGAGCGCATGATTCTCGTTAGGATGGAGATAGTATGGATTTGCAAAGTTGGTTGCAAAATCGACGTAGCTCTGGTTTTCCATTGAAAGAAAAGAAAACAAGAAGATGACACTACGCCAAAAATAAGTTTTAGCAGCACACATACGAAAGTGCTTTTAGGAAAAAGCGCTGTTGTAGATTTTAAAAAAAATTCGCTTAAAAAAAGCGCTTTCAAAGGGTGCCTTAAGAAAGCGCTTTTCAAAAGCGCTGCTAAAGGTCACCCTTAGAAAGCGCTTTTTGGGAAGTGCTGCTAAAGGGTGCCTTTCAGAGGGTACCTTAAGAAAGCGCTTTTCAAAAGCGCTGCTAAAGGTTAGCC